ATGTATGTATGTATGTATGTATGTATGTATGTATGTATGTATGTATGTATGTATGTATGTATGTATGTATGTATGTATGTATGTATGTATGTATGTATGTATGTATGTATGTATGTATGTATGTATGTATGTATGTATGTATGTATGTATGTATGTATGTATGTATGTATGTATGTATGTATGTATGTATGTATGTATGTATGTATGTATGTATGTATGTATGTATGTATGTATGTATGTATGTATGTATGTATGTATGTATGTATGTATGTATGTATGTATGTAATGTATGTATGTATGTATGTATGTATGTATGTATGTATGTATGTATGTATGTATGTATGTATGTATGTATGTATGTATGTATGTATGTATGTATGTATGTATGTATGTAATGTAATGTATATAATGTAATGTAATGTAATGTAATGTAATGAAATGTAATGTAATGTAATGTAATGTAATGTTATGTTATGTATGTATGTATGTATGTATGTATGTATGTATGTATGTATGTATGTATATTTATATATACACACCTGAATATGCCACGCACATTCACACATATTCACATATGTGAGTTGTTCATGTTTCTATGCATTTTTTTCTGGATCCCGAGTCATTCATTTGATATCCTCACCGTGTGAGGCCTTGCCGACATCCCGAAGGAGGCGGCCTTCCGCATCAAGGCGCGAGCGGTCGGCGTCGACCACCTTTCGTGGAGACCCGATGAAGCGATTTCCGCTTTTCTGAAGAGGTTTCACTGGAAGCAAGGGTCGTTCTTGCCCTTTTTTGGCATCTGTGTGCGACCTGGAGTTGAGACCCCAAACTGGAAGCAAGGGCAAGGGGCATGACAGGTTGTACACCATGCATCTAGGGATCTCTATGAAAAGGAGCGCGTCGCCCACCAATAAGCGCGAATTTGGCCATCACACAATTCAGGGCATCACAACCAAGCAAGTTGGGCAACCATGAAACCAACCAGAAAACAACCAGGGAACTTAGCCAACCACCCTTCAACTCCACGCGTTTGGCGAACTTGGCTGCAGCTCGATTTCGGCTCGCTCGCGCTCGGCTCGTACTCCAGGTGCCAGCTCTGCGAGTGCGGAGGGAGGACATCGAGAGCGCCAGAACTGAATCGGTGACAAGGTTTGACGAAGGTTACCATAGGAGTTCTTTTGGGAAAACAGATGGCCCTGGTAGATGATGAAACAACCAGGTCAACCCGGGCCATTTATTCCCTGCAAAACAACCAAGAACATGGAGGTTACCCACGAAGGTTTCCCAACAATTAGCATGGAACCTGACAGGGGGTCCCTTTAAAAAGGAAAACGGTCCAACCCGGGACCCCAAAACGAACATCAGGTTCCACATCAATTGGCGGGAGGGTTCCCTTTTGAGCCCCGGATCTCTGCCCAGAGCTGCTCCGGAATGGGGTTCTTTTCCCCCTATCTCTGCCCGAAAGGTTGGTGCTGGATGTTTGGTGCTTCGGCTGTGGGGTTGACTTTGCGATTGGCTCAAGGTTGAGTCAGGCTTGTTCAGGGAACATCTAAAAGGCAGGGCCTGTAGAGGCCTCCATCGACAAAATTCGAAAGCTGGCGTTCGGCCTGTGCGGCTCTACCTGCCTCAGCTCAATTTGGGTGCGTCCGAGAATAGAGGACGCCTAAGAAGGGCTCCGTTTTGTTTGCTGTAAACCCTCATTCGAAGGTTGCCACTTCCCAAGTCTACTTGACACTTGCTTCAGGTTTTCTTTCGTTAGCCTACCTAGATACTCTGGTTCCCCCAGCGGATTTCTGAGCACTCTTTTTGGAGCAATCGCTTCGCGGAAGTCCCCCAGGCCACCCCACCCCACCCCACACCCCACACCCCACCCCACACCCCACACCCCACCCCACCCACCACCTCGCCCCAGCCCACCCAAGCCCACCCAGCTCCGAGGCATTGTGAGGTACGAGCTCCGCCGCCTTGGGCGCACGGAGGGGCGGGCAATCCCAGACATCACGCCAGAGGCGCTGAAGCGGCTGCAGGCCTATGACTTCCCCAACAACGTCCAGGAGCCATCCGTCGAATGTTCGCTTTGGAGCTTCTCACTTCCTGAGTTGGACTTGAGTCACATGTTTATCCATGTTCACTCCCTTTTTTACCCATCTTCACCCCCTTTTCACATGTTGCAAAACATTTCCATTTCCACCCCCCCTTTCCTTCCCATTTTCTCAAACCATCCACCAAACCAGACGCAACCCTTCGCCAGGAGCTCTTTGGTCTCATCGAGAACGCCTGCCGCAACCTCCCGGAGAACGCGGAGGCGCTCACGGCGGAGCTGCTGTGGACGGCGCAGAGCGCCCAGAAGTTGGATCTCTTCAAGGCCCCCGGAGATTTTCGCGGGGCGGAGGATTTTGTTGTTTTTCCATGTCGCTGAACAAAAAACAAAATTCAACTGAGGCGATATCCCCAACAGCATGCGGTGCTCTTTTTAGTGCTCGGCAGCCCTCGCAAAACCTCGTTGAACCCTGGTGGAACCCTGGTGGAACCCTGGTGGAACCATGGTGGAACCCTGGTGGAACCCTGGTGGAACCCTGGTGGAACCCTGGTGGAACCCTTGTGGAACCCTCGTGGAACCTTACCTCAGGGCCGCCCGGACCACCCCGGAGCCTATCTGGGCTGAGACCCCAAAGCTTTCAGCTGTTGGGGAAAAAGATGTTTCGGCCCCGAAGAGTCTAGGGGTGGATATTGCCAAAAAAGTCTTTTGAACCGGGTTTCCAGAGGTTTCTGGAAAGGAGGATCTCTGAAGGTACTACCCAAGGGGTCCACCATTTTGAGAAACCTCCATCTGGATTTGGGAGGGACCAAAAGGGGGAATGAGCTCTAAACTTCCACAAAAGCCAGGGGCTTCACTCATTTTCCCACGTCCTTTTGAGGAAACACCTCATTTCTTGTAGCCGTTGCGGCTTGGTATAGCTCGTGAAGGGAACTCGTCGTACACCTAAGGGCGTGAGACAGCTGTCAGGTTCAGATGCGTTGGTTTGTGTTAGCACGTATGCTTTCTCAGTTGTGTGGCCTGTTTAGCCAGATGGCCACTGCCACGTGTGGTATGATATGCAGCGAGCATGTTTGTTTGTGTTGTGGGTGACCGACCCGCAGATTCATCTGCCAGACACTGCATTTGAGGTGAATCTGCTGGACGTTTACCCCGGCTTGCGCGACTTCCTCCGATCAGACTGGCTGCTTGTCGTTTTGGTTGAGGACCTAGTGCGTCCAAAGCGGAGAAGGATGGGGATGCCCCAACGCGATAATGTTGCGGACCCGTTTCAAAGGGAGTCCGGTTTCCGGAGTTCCCTACTCCAGGACACACACACACACACACACGCGCGCCTGAACATTGAAGTTGAGGTGCACATTCAGAAGTGGTTATTTAGTTGGGTCAAGTCATCAATTTATCAAACAGAAAAGATAACAGCCAATATGAAGAGGTTGATGAGCTGATCGTCTTGGGCATCGGGGCGCAAAGCCGGCGAGCAAAGGTTGGAGAACCTCAACCACGGCTTCACCAAGTACGTCTTTGCGGTGCTGGTGGTCCTACTCTTCGTAGGCGCCGAACTTTTGGGACGGGAAGAAGCGTACAACGTTTGTTGAGAGAGGGAACGGACAGACCGAGGAACCTCGTGCCAGTTCTGTGTCTGCATTTCAGGGTTGCCAAGCATATGAGATGGCCAGACTGTTGAAGGCTTACTGATTCGTCGACCGGGGGGTAGGTTGATCAGTGGCCGACAGGAAGGAGTCAAAAGCTGGCAGGGTGCGACCGGGTGGCTTTTACATGAGCCACAATCAAACCCCGGGTAGATGAAGGTTAGTAAGGGGCAGTCCCAGCCAGAAATAGTTGCGGATATCCGCCTTCTGAATTCTTGAAGCATGGTTCTGGGATTACGACCATTTTAATTTACCGGGTTTGGATTGTGGATTTCTCACATGCTGTGGGCTCTCCAGGGCCGCAGACCAGGGACGCCAACGTGGGGCTGAGCGTGTTCTGGGCCTGGTGGTGGCCCGGCATTCTGCTGACCTACCCCCTGCTGGGCCGCTTCTGGTGTGCGACTCGATCCCTGATCGGAGTGATGGGCAAGGGGGAAGCGGCTAACCGTAGGTAGCTTTGTTGTGAAGAGGGGTGAAGAGAGGGTGTGAGGGAGATCATGTTATGCATACGTTGAATGCATTACATACATTATATATATAATATACATATATATATATATATTATATATACACATTTAGTATCACAAGCCATGGTCGTGTTGGGCATTTCAGAAGCTTCCTGGTGTGGGCACATCATGCAAGCTCATGCTGTCAGGGGTTTGGTTCCTTTTAAATGCTGAAGGCCACAAAAAAAGCGAGGGTCAATTCCTGTCATCGTCTATTGCATAGGGGATACCGCGTTACCAAGAATCTCAATCGGGGGTGACTCACGAGTAGGACGCTTGGGCCCGGCAAGCCTCATGTCCAATCTTTTCTCGGGCGCACACTGCACACTCCAAACCACACCCCGTCGTTCTTTCCAGGTGAGTTTGGTCGAACTTAGCTGGCCAGTGCCATCTAGTTCTTCCACAAAGGACACCTATCCCGCCAAACATGGGAGTTCAATGGAGTGCACGTTCTGCCCCTCAGGGAAAATGGACTTTCTTTTGGGATAGGGCTCTGTGTTCCAAGTGGGTGTGAGCTTTTGCAGGGCTTTTGGCTTTAAGGGAAGCCAGAAAAAAAGCAAATCCATTTTTTGGGGCCCGATTTCGGCGCTGACCCCCATGTTTGCTGGTAGGGCCTACGGTAAGCCCAGGCGGTCTGCCCATTCATGATCTACGGGGAGGTGGTGCAGAGGTGGCGTGTGGCCTCCGGGGCAGTGCTTCAAAAGTGGCCGGCGGAGGTGGGGAGGAACGGGGGCTGGTTCCTCTTCGTGCTCTTCCTGGGGATTTTGCTGTGGGAGGACTTGAAATGCACGGAAGTGTGTGGGTGGGAGACGTGGGTGGGAGACGTGGGTGGGAGACGTGGGTGGGAGGTGGAAGGTGGTTGTAAGGTGGTGGAAGGTGGTGTAAGGCGAGGGGTTGTCTATTGTGGGGGCGTGCTAGGTTGGTGGCCCGGGAATGGTTTAATTGAGAATCGGATTTACAGCTAACCCTGGTTATCAACTGGTTACCTAGTACTGTTTTCGAGTCGCATGGAGTGGGCGGATGCTCCGGATATCGGATTGGTGTGCTGGGCTGAGCCGATTCTACTTCACTTCCAGAGGGTCCTGCCCTTTCCTCATGCGTGGAACAAGAACAGTTTGGGGGGAGGTTGGAGAGATCACCGTCTGAGATCTGACGCCGCTTGGGCTTGGGGGATTTGCCTTTGAACCAAGTTTCTCCCGTGAGGTAATCCTTTGCCATGTGGCAGGGCCTTTGTGAACCGCCTGAGCTGCTGTGTTCTTGAAACTTAGGCAGCCTCCTTTCCCAGCGTTTGAATCATCAGGAGCTGTGGGTGTTGGAAAACACTGCCTACCTCTCGTCCTGCTTCTCAGATGCATCTCTAGGGGCAAGGGCTGGCCACACCCTCACTAAGCAGCAGGGGTGTTTTTTTGAGAGGGCCCTTTTTGTGATTGGTTTGCAAGGGACACCAAAGCAACCGCCTATTTCTCGCGTGCCCGTTCTTTTTTTCTTCTTCTCACACCCCCAGCTGAGGCTTGCTACTGCTGATCACGTTTGGGGCCATGGTGGGGTCCTACTTCTTTGAGCGCCGCATCTGGTGCCGGCACCTCTGCCCCATCGGGGGCATGAACGGGCTGTACGCCAAGCTGTCGCTAACGGAGCTGAGGGCGCAGAACGGCCAGTGCAAGGCGCTTGGGGAGGTTTGGATTTTCGAGGCCGCAAGTCTGGGAGAGGAAGGGCACTCCACCAGTTTTCAGGGGATTCCCAGCTAACAAATGCCATGTGTTTGAGGGTCCAAGCGAGAGGTTCTTATTTAAGCCACCAGCCAAGAGCCGAAAAGGAAGACGGAAGACACCTCTGTTTCTGGTTCAAGCGCAGAAATCTCGGTTTCAAGCGCCCAGGGGAGCCCTTAGGGCCTCCTCTCGTGGGGGACCCCTCTGCGGGGGCCCTTAGGTAGGTGCCATGGCGGAGGATATGTCATGGCTGTCCGGCGACATCCGGCGCCGGGACCGGGTGTTCAAGAACAATCAGGAGAAGCTGCTGTTTCACCTCACGGAGGAGGTCACCCGCACCCCTGCGGTTTTTGAGCAGGCGCAGAAGAACCGCGATGCTCACCAGAAGCGGCTGAACGAGATGCTGGAGGAGACCTTGCGGCAGATCAAGAAGTGCCGGGCGCACATGCAGCAGAAGAAGAAGCACGTGATGGACACCACCAAGTCCTACACCGCCAAGTTCCAGCACGAGCTGGCGGGTGCGCGCCAGGGCCTGCGCCGCGACCTCAAGGAGGCCTTCGGCGCCATGAACGCGGCGGTGGACCAGCTGGGGGAGCGCATGTCCCAGGCGGAGGCCGCCCTGGTGCAGCAGCGGGAGGACCGGATTCGGCACATCGAGGCCACGCTGGGGCCCATCCGGGACGAGTCCCAGCGCCTGGCGGACGCGCTGCAGGTGGAGACCCAAGCCCGGCAGCTCCAGGACCAGCGCCGCGAGAAGGTGTTGGAGGCTTCCCCCGAAGTAGCGCCCCCCCCCCCCCTTTTTGTTGTTGTTTTTTTTCTTTATTTTTTCTCCGCTTTTTTTGGTCAATCCCCTTGGTTTTTCCCACTTATATATATATATATATATATACAGTTTTTTGGTTGGTCCTGACTCAAGCCAAGGAAGATGAGGTGCATGCCATCAACGCCCTGATCGACGAGGAGAAGTTTGAGCGAGAGCAGCAGCTCAAGAGCTACGAGCGTTGGGCGGACGCCACGCAGCAGCAGATCGCCAAGAGCCAGTACCAGCTGGAGAAGGAGGTGCGGGAGCTCACGAAGGACATCCGCAAGGAGCACCAGCAGCATGCGGCCCACCGCATCGAGGCGCAGCACGCCATCGTGGATTCCATCGCCTCCTTCATCCACAAGTACCGCGAGCAGCTCGACAAGGATGTGGCCTTGCAGGGGGTCTACAAAGCCTTGCTCAAGTAGCTAGCCTTGCAGATGCTTGCAAACAATACCAGCTTCTCAAGCAAATGACGGGTGGTCGAAGCTCGTTGTTTTCCCAGGGTGTTCCCTGCTACTCCACACTCTCCGCAAAATTTCCCAAATCGGAGCAGTCACTAAGCCCGGCTTCCGCCTTGCCAAGCAACGGCGCGCGGGCGAGCAGTTTCACTCGGACCTGGTAGGCCCGCTTGCAAGAGCCAGATTTCACCTTGACAAATGGAAAGCGGAACAGCCGAGAGACGTGGGGCGGTGGGACTCTCGGTTTGGTGGTACCCCACGGTGTGGACGCTGGGAAGCCAGACGTTGCTTTCGGAAGGTAAATCAGACAAAAGAAGATGCCACCGTTTCCGGGAGAAGGCGGCGGCGTCGATTTGGACAGACATTCACATTGAGGTTCAAAGCAGAGAGCGTTTCGCTGGGCAGACGAGCCCCTTATGCAAACCGAGGTTTTGCCGATTCCAGATATTGTGGCGGGTACCACACTGCAATTTGGCACTTGAGCAACCAACAACTTGAGAGACCAAGAAAAGCTCCTTGGCTTGTCCTCACTTCATAAATAAGCGTCGCAGCCTTGGTCGCGCCAGCCTCTCTGTTTTTTCTTGGGGGCACCCTGTTCCAGCCCAACACGTCTTTGGTCCAAGCCAAAGGTTCAGCCTAAATCGGTAGTTTGGATTGGCGGTTTGGATTCGGATCAAACCCCTGGTTCTAGAGGGTAGATGGGAAACGCCTCCTCAACCACCACCAATTGGAAGGAAGCATGGATGTCAAGCATAACCATGGTGATGGGGACTAACCCCAGTTACACCAGTTATAACCATGGCTATACCCCACTCATGAGGTTGTTTGAACACTCAACAGTGAATGGCCCCGAAGACCGGAGCTACTAGGAAATCAGCTCGCTCTCCCCCTTGTTGGGCTTTTTTCTCGTCCCGAGCAAAAAGAAGAAGAGCAAGAAGCGCTGCGCTGGAGGCGGTGTGCAACACCTTCCACTGCTACAAGGGCGGCCCGGAGGAGGGCGAGGGCCAGGAGACGGACGGCTGCCCCCTCTACTCCCACCCCGCCAACCTCAAGGAGGGCCATCGATCGCCCGATCCCGAATCGAAGCCGATGCCGATGCCGCCCGGTTTTTTGGGGGCCGCGTCAAAGGACGGAGCGGGCGTGCGGAGGTTCGGCTTCGCAAGAGTCACTGGTGGTTTGAGGCAAGCAACCTGTGAGTCACTGGTGGTTATATTCGTTTGGATGAAACCACCTTGCGGCAGTTCAAGAAAAGCAAGCATGCCCAAATGACTGGGTTTTCGCATAGTTCTCCTTTGACAACTCCGAACAGGGTGCCCTCAAAAATATATATATATATATATATTGATATATATATATATATATATATTTGTACACATACACACATATGCCTTTTTGGGAGGCCCTTCTGAGGCCAAATTCTACGGAGACCGCCCTTCCGCCAGAAACGGGGGGTTTCTTCCCGGCGATGCGCCAGGACAACAAGGACTGCGTGCTGTGCTTCACCTGTCTCAAGGCCTGCCCCCACCGGAACGTGATGCTGAGCTTGCGGGCGCCCGGAGCGCCTTGGACGGGGGCAGCAACAAGCAAAAATTTTGGGGAACAATTGGGGCGGTGGGGCGCCGATCCTTTTTTTTTCCGGAGGTTTTTGGGTTTTTTTGGGGTGGGTGACAAAGGAGTTCTCTGGTTTTTGTTTGGGGGTGGGCGACAGAGGAGCCCAAAGAAGAACCTGCCTTTTGGGGTGGGTGATAGAGGGAAAAGGGCCACCAGCCAAGTTTCCATTGGGTCCTCCAAGAGGGCCACTGTCCTAGCTGAAACTTCTACTTGTTTGCTTCCCTTCAGATCTCTCAAAATAGGATACCCCTCGCTTTCAATCAACCAGAGGCATACCCTCCAGCCAATTAGCATGAAACCCACTGTCTCGCATTCCACGGCAATGTGGACTGGGAGGCTACAACGCCCCGATTTTTTTGACGATCAAAATGAACCGAAGGTTTGCTTGCGACCGAGCTGTTGCAGCGCAAGGTGCGGCGCAAGGTGGGTCGCTCCTGGTTCAGTTGTCGCACGAATCTCCCGAAAACAGTTTTTTGATCCATACCCAAACTGGTTTGGAAAGAAACCCACAGGCGATTTGTTCAGTCCAGCCCACTTTGCTGTCCCTTCGCTTTTTCCCTCTTTCCATTTTTCCTGGCATCAAGCCATCTATGTTGGGTCCACATGTTGAGACTGTCTACTTCACCCATGATGGTTGCGGAAAACTAGGTTGCCAGGCCACTCTCTGTGATACCAAGGGAGCCCGTTTCAGTGAAGAAGTCATGGTGGTCCACTTTGGTACAACAAAAAGGGGCCCATTCTCCTCCACCTTGCACGTCTCTTGTCTCAAAATAGGGGAACGCCCAAACATAACTGGCTTCTCTTTGGATTCCCTTTGCAACCAAAAGAGGACAATATTAAACGATCCCCCTTATGATGGACACTTAGGCTCTATTTGTTGCAACCGCCTTCTTTTCAGATATTGGAGTTTTAGGATTCCTGGCTGCCACATAGACACAGATCAGAGTCCACAGCACCCCCCCTCCTTTCCTTCCCTTCCCCCCCCCTATCCCCTCCTCTGCCATCGACTCCGCACTCGCTCGAAGTTTCAGGTGGACTTCGGCTTCCCGTTCCTCTTCCCCATCCCCGGCACCGCGGCCTCCGCGCGGCACGAGGCGTCGGCGCCCGAGGTGGCGCTGCTCTTCCTGCTGCTGGGGGCCGTCTTCTGCCACCACCTGCCGGACGGGCGGGGGGTGGAGGTGGGGGTGAGGTGGGGACGTGGGGGTGATACATGGGGCGACCTAGTAGGGCAACCGCAAGAACAGACATATTTGATGTTTGTCCCACAAAAATGGGGGAAAGTTGCTCATGGTCATTTAGGGGCAGGAAAATTGATCAATCCACAAATTTGAAGCAGAAGCTGAAGATGTGATTCTCTGAAGGGCCCCAGATGTGGGCCAAGCGGGCTCAGGTTGGCGGCAAACAGAATGAAGCATGGGTTGGTTCCCTCACAAACCATGGGCATGGCCTACTGTATGGGCCTAAATGATTAGAATGGGTGTGTGTGTGTGTGTGGAGCACTTGCAAGCCATTTTTTATATCGTGATCGTGGAAGCACCATGTGTGTATTCTGGTTAGCCCCTGCCTTAACTTTTGGACCCAGAACGGTCCTCTTCATAGGGAAACCAAAAGGATGTTATTCAGGCAGCTGTTGTTTGGGCATGTTTAAACCAGGGGTCAGCCCAACCCAGACCCACTGGGAACCCACAACGGGGGATGACTAAAGGGAGTGTCTTCCGTCTTTCAAGCGAGCTGGTTTTGGTCGGGTGATGTGTAATTTCAATTGGGAAGAGGGGGCTGGGCCGGCTGATGCGGCAGCTTTTCAGTTGAGCACCGGTTTATTTGTGACTACAACATGTTTTTGCTGACTGGTATCACCTCCGACAACACTTTTTCTGCCTGAAGGAGGCATGTCACTTGGCACTTCATTCCCCAACATGGTTATAACAATTTACCCCTATCATAAGTTGTTTTTTGTGTGGCTTACAACCAGGGTGACCTACGGCTCCGAGATGTCAGTCTCCTGACAGAACTTGCAGCGATCACGTTACTTTTCGGCAAATCTGTTCCCCACTGTGTTTCCTACCATCCCTTACCTTTGAGTTCAGCGGTTGCCCTTTGCCTTTCCAGTCGAACAGAATTAGAGAACCCCCCCTCTTCAGGGGAGTTTCTACACTCGAGAGCTCAGAGCTTTTCGCGCGGTTCTCTTGAATCAAACATATAACGTGGCAATGGGCTTTGTAGTTTTCCGGTTCGCTCTTGCTGGTTTGGCAAACTGGTCAAGCTGTGAAGGGTCAGTCCCCCTCCCCCAACCACTCGATGGCTGCTGTCTCAGGAGCTGTCGGCCCAACTGGGCGCCCCGGAGCTGGTGGCCTCCTTCAGCAGCCACGCGCTGCTGGCCACCGCGGCGCTGCTGGGCCCCGGCCGCCTCGGCTCGCGGTTTGGATCCGATTCTCCATTGAACCTCTAGCTGGGGGGGACTTATTCAACTGCCACGGACTTCGCTGGCACACAAATCGACAAAGTGCAGTCCCCGAGTTTTCGAAGTGTTTTTTCTTTTATTTGTTTTTCCAACACGTTGTATTATTTGCACGGTTTGTCCTTGCAATCGTACCTAGGTCAATTGCCACCTTTCTCCCTTTCTGCTTTTAACCATTGCGGCTTCTGAGGATCCATTTCCTACACCTTTGCATGGTTTTGTCGGGGGCCACTTCCCTTGTTTTGTTACACCTTTAACTTTGCACGCTCCTTTCTGTTGCGGGGGGGGGCACCTTCGATTTTTGGCGGCCATTATTTCCCTTGATCAACACGCCAACTGAGCCAGCATCAAACACCAGCTAGATGAAGGGTAGAGCAAAACCCGCCGGAAAGAGGCATTCGCCATCTGCCCTGTTTGCCTGGGTCGATCCATTTTGATGCCTCGTCTCCTTGGCTCACGCGTGGCTCGTGCCGCATGCAGCGAGGCCTTCTGGTGCTGTGCGCGGACCGCGCGGCGCGGCTGCTGAGCAGCGCAGTGGAGCCCAAGCGGCGGCCGCTGAACGACTTTGCGCCTCGCGGCAAGGGACGCGGCGGGGAAGACCAGGGCCAGACGTTTGCCGCTCCCTTTTGGTCCGAAGGGAAGCCCAGTACTGGTTTTGGGTTCCAGACCCGTAGCCCCTAGATTGTGTGGGTGCCAGTCGCTATGATCATGTTACCATCTGCGTTTTGACCTGGAAGGATATGTTCTTGCGCTACATAGCTGAACGTACTGAGCATTGGTTTCCGCAGTTGTAGTCACGCTTTTTGTTTCTTGCACGCTTGAACCTCCAGCTTTCTTCTCTTGAAACTGTTTCTCGGTGCAGACAAGGTGGAGTTGGCCTACAGCTACCTGCCTCTCACCTGGCTGGCAACATGGATGCACGAGTTCGTGTACCCACAAAGTTGTACCACTATGCAGCCCCAACACCTGGCAACCTCAAGCCTCCCAAATGGCAGGTTTCAGATTGATTTAGCAAAACTCAACCTGGTCCGAATTCGTCGCGGGAGAGACGCTTGCTTTTACTTGAAGCCACGGTTTCATTTTTCAACTTTTCTTGTCGAGACTCCAAAGTCAGCAGTTTGTCGCGGTGCCAAATTGAGGCATCCCTGGCGCACTGGTTGGAGCTGGGCATGACCGAGGCAGAGTTTTGCATCTGAAGCAACCAGACGACCCGCGTTTATGATTGGACGCTACATGGAGTTTGCTGAGATGGACAATGGTTGAACCGCGCTTGAATCGGCTGGGGGTCATGATGTTGACCATTTCTGGCAGTCAAAGTTGGAAACTCGGGTGGTTTTCCCTTGAACCTACCACTTGGGTGACTTTGGTTCACTGGTAGACTACTGGGGCGCTGTCCGAGCCACAGGCGGGTCTGCTGCTTCCCACGGCTGCACGCACCGCCACCTTCTTCGTGCCAGCGGTGGGCGACGCCGTGGACCCAGCGGCGCTGCCCACGTTGGTCTTCGCGCCGGCGGCGGTGGCGCTGGTGCAGGGCGCCTTGTTGCTCGCAGCGCCTCGAACTGCAGCGAAGCACGCGCCAAAAGCACCTCTCGTTTGGGGGGGGGGGTACTTAGTTGGTCTGGGAGTTGGCTGAGTGGGTAGTAAGCCTGGTTGTAACCCTATTACCATGGGTTGTAAGGCTCCTATAACCAGGGCCAAACCGTCCAGCTTTCAAGCTTCAGGCTCCAGAACGCTTTGGAGACACCCCTCCAGAAAGCCCCGGCCGGAGAGCAGGGAATCTGTTCAGATGTCACTGGGTTCTTTCGGAAGATACACCTGTACCAAGCCTTGAACACCGCAGTTGAATGCTCGGGGCGGATATGTAAGCCTGACTGTCATTTTGGTCTATACAATGTAACCTATTGTCAGAGAGCGGCGGTTCTTTTGGGAATGGGAGGCAATTACAATGTGGAACCTGGGTCTCAAGACGATCGGAACTGGAAAAGTAGCAATCGAGATATCAAGAGTGATCTTTGTCAGGCAAAGATTTCTTCAGGGGAGCATATTGATTGGTCTTAAAATTCAGGGTCCCTAAAAAGGGGGGGTTCTTGTTTTTGAACCACAATTGAGATTCGATCAACAAACAATATGGGTGTGTGTTTTTCAAGGGTACCAGGGTACCTCCTTTTGGATGGGTTTAAAGGGACACCAAAAGGACAAGCGCCTTTGTTTGAGGGTTCCCTTAAAAAAAGGGATACACTCATACTGTGGATGGACGAACTCCTGCACCACCAAAGAAACCCTGCAAATGATTCGATTCCCCTGTAAGTACCACCAAACCATGGTTTCCCCCATGGTTTCATTTCGTGCGGACGGAGGAAGGCAGAAAAAAAAGCGCCGGTGGCAGTTTTTCCAAGCGTCAAGCACCTGTGGGGGTGGATGCTTTTGAGTTCGGGGTTGGCCACCAGCCGAGGCCGCCGGGTTCAGCCTGCAGCTGTACAGCAAGCTAGGCTGGCGCGGAAAAATCGGCGGTCGGCTGTCTGCTTTCCTTTCCGGGCCCGAGGCGCAAAAGAAAATGGGCGGACAATCCTGAGAAGCGCGGCAAGGCATGAAGCGTGAAGCAGCGCAGTGGTTTTTGCCGAGGGTGTGTGGAGTGGTTCGTTCACCTGCAATATGTTGGGAACCTCACGTGCTCGCCTGAAATGCGAAAGCTTCAACTGTGCTGTCCTCACGAAGGGCCACCCCCAAGTACATCCAGTTGATGTCATTCCCGAAGGACGGATGAACGACGCACAGACTTACAACATTGTTTGAGTTCGCACATGAATGGTCCACAAAGGGTTGAATTAGTGTAATATTGCACCTGTACATTATTGCAAGCAGGTAGCCAGTGACACTCTGCAGCATGGTGTGTGTGTGGCTTACTCGCAATAGACTGTATTGCAGCATATGCCATTGTTCACATACGGGGAGCACTGAGGAGGCTGAGCCGACGTGGGGATGTGGGGTTCAAACACTCCAATTTCCATGCGAAAGCTTGTTCGTTTTCAACCCCGACGAACAGACACAGATCAAAGATCGCAGGCTTCAGCTCACTCGTCCTGGGTTTTGGTTTATATCCCTTGAGGCTCCCTAAGCCGTCCCCAAGCCCTCACCAAGCCCTTGTTCCCTTCAGGCAGCAAGGACGCGCCCTTCGCCTGGGTGCATCAGCTGATGATCTTGGCTCTGACATGGGAGCTGTGGCAACTGATCCTTTGATACTTTTAATTCGGGTGCAACGGATGGGCCCCCGAGGGTTGGCGCTGGAGAGGGTTGCAAAAGCGCGAATGGTTGGCTCGGCATTACGAGCTGTACCTTGTCCGAACACGAGCAGGAAGGTTTCCTTAGGAACGTGAGCAGCAAGCATATGGTGTCCGTTCTTCTTTTTCACAGGCCATCAGCAAACACGTAACATCAGCAAACACAAAACACGTGTTTGCTCGGCATATCTTCGACATGTCTGCCTCACGATACAGCCACCGGGGCGATCCGTTTGCGGCACCGCATCATTTGAAGGGGGGATGGCCGCATGGGCCGCATGGCCAGCTGTCGACCTCGAGTAGCTACGCGCAATCGAAGGAAATCCATGGGTGGAAGGTGAGAAAACCCGACAATGTGAGAGACCTTCCCAATTCGTCCATTTTAACCCGAGCAGCCTTTTGGTGGGGTGACATTCGTGTTTGGCTTTCGCACTGCGCACGCATGTCGAAGTGGGTCCTAGGCCTGATTTAAGTGGAGTCTGCGCAGATTCTGGCGACCCGGGGGAGAGCGATCTCGCCCGTGACCGGCCACTTTCCAAGGAAAGGGATGGATGGCCCGGTTCAGATTTACAAAGTTCCTCGAGCTGTGCAGAGTCTTGTTCGTGTTCCCGCGAGCTTTATGCTCAAGTTCCGCCTTTGTTCCAGGCTTCTTAACCGCCCTGACCCTTCCCAAGGCACCTTCTATTGCTCTTCTGCAAATGTGGCACACATGTAGCGAGCTTGGCGTGGGTAGAGCAAGAACATTTCAGATGGCAACCCGAATGATGGTCCAATCTTAGGTACTTCTCACGTTGCGTCGACTCCAAACCTACAGTGTGGACAGGCATCGCTCGATTCGACCAACCACCTAGCTTCGAAAAGCCGAGAATTTGCCCCGGTTTTTGCGTTCCATCCCACTGCCAACTGCATGGGTTTGTGTTTTTTCCTCGGAGAGGTGCGGGAAGGTTCGGGTTTCGGGCCGTTTCTCAGCCGTTTCTGCCGGCCTTCGAAGGCCGTGTGCGGCTTGCGGCCAGGCGGCTTGCAGCCATCGGCGGTAAACAGAAAAGGGATGCAGTTGAGGACATGGGCATGGGAACTCTCGTAGGCCACGTGCGGGGTTTCTGACAAGAGCCCGAGCCATGCGCAAATCCCAACTCGACCCCCGCACCCCTCACTGCTTTCAGCCGTTGCGTCGCCTTGTGCAGGTTGCCCCAAGTCGACTAAAACCCACGGATGGTTCATTTCCCCAACTAAGGGAATTCGGCCCAATCACCAACTTTCTGGGCTTCATTTCCCCTGAGGAACTTCCGGGTCTTTAGCCCGAAAAAATGCTGGTCCCGGCCTTCTTGCGAGAAGCCCGAGCAATGCCGCAAGCCAAGGGCCTGGGTAGCAGTCCTAAGTCGTCTGCGCCCAAGCCCGAGAGCAGGGGAGCCCAGCCAAGACGATCCACTCGACAGGGGCCAGGTCCATTGTTGGAAAACGGAGCTTGGCGGTTTCCAGCCATCCGGTTCCTTGGCTGAGGTTTTCAGTTGGTTTAGTGGTTGGGTTTCCGAATATTGACTAAAAGTGACACTTTTAGCAGGAACTGGGGACAGCCCCAGGTTCAATGAGTTTGTGGCCAAGTGGTTGCCTTTCGGCGCTTTTGAGCTGCGAACATTGGTTGAAGTTGTGGGGCTTGATGGGTTGCAAGGTTGCAAGCTTCCATTGTGAGTGCACCCCCGGAAGGAAGCCCGCATTTTGGGCAATGCGTCAGAAGCATGGAGAGCTCGAGCTCACCAGCCAGCGATGCCTTGGACATCCCATGTCTGCGGGCGATCCGGTTTGGAGGGCAAGTGGGTGTTTTCTGCACTCCGGAAACTGGGGGGATGGGTGCGGTTGATCCGTGTCTCCATGCTCAGGTGTCAACTGCCCAGGACTCAGACGGGATGGGAAACGGTCCCCAACGCCGACGGCTGGGAGAAGTCAACGGGTCCTCTGGTCGTTAGAAGGTCCTCCAGTTGGGCTGGCGGGCGCAAAGTTCTCAGCTTAGGGGCCGATTGAATCCGAAGGAGTCTGCCTTGCACTTTCGGCACTCGCACTTTGTGCAGAATTCTGGTTGGATTCAGAAGGCAAAACACAGCCGGAGAAAGTGACACATCTGCCAATTTTATGGGGACTGCAGAGGTGAGTAAAGTTGCAGTTTCATGCTCTGTGTTTTTTTCTTCCACTCACCATTGGGTTTCGCGCACCGAAATCAGCCGCCCAGTCGCCCGTTTCGAGGTGTCGCCATCTTGGCGGAACTGCTGTGCTTTGGCTGGACTCGAACCGTTCGATGGGTTCCACGGGGGTTTTGGGGAATGCTATGAATCAGGAGAAATTTGGGGCAATGGCCAAGCAAAACTTCACAGGGTAATGGCCAATTTTGAGCGATCTTCTTTTTGACGGGGTGATGTTTGAAGGTAAAGTAACCCTTTTTGAAAGGAACGTACGTATATTTTTTGGTCGAAAAGTCGAGAACTCTTCTGTCTGTGAATTTGCCTTTGGTGTTTCTGTGTATGTTTGGGTGTCTCCCTGCTCCCATAGTTCGGTTGCTTGGTTTGCAGGCAGTCCTTGTTTCTTTTTGAAGATTTTCTCATGAGTGATGTGAGTTTTTATTGTTTGCAGTTTCTAGACCTATGAGCCTATGAGAGATTTCTTGGAGTGCCCGGCTTCTGACAGATGTGGCAAGAAGTGAAGCCCTGCAACTTCTCCCGTCACAAGCTCCAGAGCTCCCATTCTGAGCCTAACTGGCAGAGTTATGTTTGCCTTAAGCATGGAATTGTACTGTGAAGAATAGCAACTCTAGCCGCAACTTGGGGGTTTCTGAAAGGCCCCACATCCCAAATGGGTGGTTTTGCGGCTCTACATAAGTCAAGACATCACAGTTTGTGGCGCCGTCCTATTGGGTCGGTTATCACACCTACTGTGTAGCTGCGCCCTTTGAATGTGCACAGGAACTGGGTGCTGGCTCGTGAGCCACCTAATCCTTAAAGCCCGGAGAGTTCACAGTTAGACTTGAGCATCATCTATTCATCATGGACTCCCACCAAAAGAGGACCGCTCCCGGGCAAGGGTCTTATGCGTGGGGGTGATCCCGGTCTCAGGCTGTACATAGACAAGCGGGAAGCCAGCTGCGTGTCCGCGGCCGGGACTCCCAGAGGGCGACCGTCCGAGCGTTCGGCTGAGGGGCCCGCGATGGGTGAGCCATTGGTGTCACTCGAGATGTTCATGCGGGGTGTTGGGGGTTCTCTATACCTTGTGAAAACCCAGAGCCATCAGGGCTGGGATCATGAAGGTCAAGGCAACAGTCGAAGCCAAGCCCGAAACGCAGCTTGGGGCCCTCGGGGCTCGAGCGCAAACCGGCAAAAGCCCAGCAACCGGGTCCCGTCATCCTTACCTCTTGAACTGGTTCTTGGTGGCATTGCCTCAACCTGTACTCGTGGTAGGGGCTGTGACTGCGTATATGACTCCTGAGCCAATGAGCTTCGCGTGCCTCCAACCAGCTCAAACTGAGCTTTCCATCCACATCATGTAAACACAAGCGCCATCCAAGACAGCCGACAAAAACTGGACTCTGGGTTTCGTATACTATAATAGTTGCATTCTTATTATTATGGAAATGTACGAAAAAACACATCGCCCCCATCGCCAATGCTTCGTCACCACCAGTTCGATATCTCCGAGCTCCGGCTGAGGCTTCCGATTGGACGGCCGGGACCTGAGCTGACGGGGCTTTGGTCGTCTCTCGCGATTTGAGGATGTTGCAACCCAACGAGCCATCGAAGATCGGTGTGTGTCTTTCCTTTTTGTAGGACCTCCCCAAACTGGCTTCTCCTTGTTCTTCTTCCTCCTGTTTTCGCTGCAAACAAAACAAAAGGGCACCCTCCCCAACAAATCACCAGATAGGTTCCCGTCCCAGAAATCCACGAGGCACCCAAGCGCCTGAGCTAAGGGCGAGCACTTTACCGGCTTCTCGGTGCTGCAAGAGGCCCTGAAGAAGGCCATTGGTGCCGTCGGCCAATGGACATGATTTCAGGGGATCCCTTTTCCGGGTTAAAAGGACACAAGGAAAATGATGTGGCTGTGGGCCAAAAATAGGGGCCCAAAATGGAACCCCGGTAAATGGAAAAGTAGACTAAAACCTGCGTACCGTAACCCTGGGTCTTTATTTTTGAGCCACACCCATGTTGACCTCATCAACAACCAACCCCAGCTTTCTAGTGGCTACTGGTTCCGCAACGGCATTAAGAAATGCCCATCAGGCAGTCGCAAAGGTTTACTCACTTGCCCAAATGGGTGTGTCTTTGAATAGGCCCCCCCCAAAAAAACAACAACAGCACGGTGGTTTTCCTTTGGTGTCCCTTTAAAAGCAACCCCAAAAAGGGAACCCATAACACTAGTTGGCCCGAGATGCAAAGCTTCACATCTCTCACAAGACTCCCGGACCCAAACACGTGGAAGCAAAACTGTTCTTTGAACCAACTCCTTTGGGTTTCCCTTGAGCAGGGTTCCCTATATTTCCCCGTAAAGCATCACACCAAACAACACTCACGGGACCAAAAGGTGATGTTTAACAGGAACAAAAGGGGAAATGCAGCCAAGAAAAACCATCCAACTGGTGGTTTCCTTTGAGGGGACCCCGATACCCATACGTCATGGATTGGCTATCCGCGTTTCCAAGATGTGACACTTGTGCAAGCCTGAGAAAGAACCAGCCTTTGCAGATGGCCTGGGCGATGGTTATGGGCTCATGGGCTAAAGGCCAAACCGCATAGAGACACGCCTTGTGTTTGCTGGGTCAGAAACATTCCTTTTGCGGGTCCCATGACGCCTGAGCAACCTACATGGCAGGTGCTGAAGGGCGAGGCAGCGTGCTGGAGGCGTGGCTAAAGTCCGACCACTTTGCCAACCCACCCGCTTGGCCCATGCCAAATGTCCACTTGGTTCCTTTGGGATTTTGTAGAGCGCCTCACTTTCTGTGACGACCATTTGGTGGAACACACAAAGTGCAAACTTTCTTGGCCAATCCACTCAGGAAGTGAGCATTGGAGAAGTACTGGTACCCCTCAATGCGT